AATTCGCTTTTTTGGGGTGATCCCAAATCCTCCAAACCCACCTTGATGGGAAAATGCGGTTTTGGGGTAAAATCCCCGATTTTGGGGTGAAATTCCCGAATTTTTTGGGTTCAATCCTCGATTTTTGGCAGAAAATCCCTGATTTTGGGGGTTCAATCCCCGATTTTGGGGGAGAAATCCCTGATTTCGGAATTAAATCCCCGATTTTCGAGATGAAATTCCCGATTTTCGGGGTTAAATCCTCCGGGTTTTGGGCTTCAATCCCCGATTTTGGGGTGAAATCCCCGATTTTTGGGGTGAAATCCCCGATTTTGGGGTGAAATCCCCGATTTTTGGGGTTCAATCCCCGATTTTTGGGTTTAAATCCCGGAATTTTGGGGTTCAATCCCCGATTTTTGGGGCGATCCCAAATTCCCCAATCCCACCCTGATGAGAAAATGCATTTTTAGGGGAAATCCCCAAATTTTGGGGTGAAATCCCGGATTTTTTGGCAGGAAATACCCGATTTTAGGGGTTAAATCCCCGAATTTTGGGGTAAAATCTCCGAGTTTTGGGATTAAATCCCCGATTTTTGGGGTGAAATCTCCGATTTTGAGGTGAAATCCCCGATTTTGGGTTTAAATCCCTGATTTTTGGGGTTAAATCCCCGAATTTTGGGGTAAAATCTCCGAGTTTTGGGATTAAATCCCCGAATTTTGGGGTTAAATCCCCGATTTTTGGGTTTAAATCCCCGAATTTTGGGGTTCAATATCCCCGATTTTTGGGGTGAAATCCCCGATTTTTGGGTTTAAATCCCCGATTTTGGGGTCAATCCCCGAATTTTGGGGTGAAATCCCCGATTTTTGGGGTGATCCAAATTTCCTCAATCCCACCCTGATGAGAGAATGCGTTTTTATGGAAAATCCCCAAATTTTGGGGTTAAATCCCCGATTTTTGGCAGGAAATATCCGATTTTTGGGGTTAAATCCCCGATTTTTGGGGTGAAATCTCCGATTTTGAGGTGAAATCCCCGATTTTGGGTTTAAATCCCTGATTTTTGGGGTTAAATCCCCGAATTAATCGTCCAATCCCACCCTGGTCGGGAGCCGATTTTGGGGTGAAATCCATGGAATTCCCATTTTGGGGGGTTAAATGCCAAATTCCTCAATCCCATTCTGATCAGAAAACGCGCTTTTGGAGTGAAATCCCCGATTTTTGGGGTGAAATCCCCGATTTTTGGGTTTAAATCCCGGAATTTTGGGGTTCAATCCCCGAATTTTGGCTTTAAATCCCCGATTTTTGGGTTTAAATCCCCGAATTTTGGGGTTCAATCCCCGATTTTTGGGTTTAAATCCCCGAATTTTGGGGTTCAATCCCCGATTTTTGGGGCGATCCCAAATTCCCCAATCCCACCCTGATGAGAAAATGCATTTTTAGGGGAAATCCCCAAATTTTGGGGTGAAATCCCGGATTTTTTGGCAGGAAATACCCGATTTTAGGGGTTAAATCCCCGAATTTTGGGGTAAAATCTCCGAGTTTTGGGATTAAATCCCCGATTTTTGGGGTGAAATCCCCGATTTTTGGGTTTAAATCCCCGATTTTGGGGTCAATCCCCGAATTTTGGGGTGAAATCCCCGATTTTTGGGGTGATCCAAATTTCCTCAATCCCACCCTGATGAGAAAATGCATTTTTAGGGAAAATCCCCAAATTTTGGGGTTAAATCCCCGATTTTTGGCAGGAAATATCCGATTTTTGGGGTTAAATCCCCGATTTTTGGGGTGAAATCTCCGATTTTGAGGTGAAATCCCCGATTTTGGGTTTAAATCCCTGATTTTTGGGGATCCCAAACCCATCCCGGGGGATCCCAAATCCCCAAATCCCAACTCAAGGAATTCCCAAATCCCAGAGATCCCTGAGGGGATCCCAAACCCATCCCGGGGGATCCCAAATCCCAAATCTGATCACAGGGAGTTCCCAAATTCCAAACCCCAAATCCCGTCCTGGGGGATCCCAAATCCCATCCCAGAGATCCCTGGGAGGATCCTGAGGGAATTCCCGAATCCCCAAATCCAGCCCAAGGGATCCCAAATCCCAAATTCCACCTTGGAGGATCCCAAATCCCCAAATCCCAACCCAGGGAATTCCCAATCCCAAAATTCCCCCTCAGGGGATCCCAAATCCCGAATCCCAGAGATCCCTGAGAGGATCCCAAATCCCAAATTCCAGTCCAGGGAATTCCCAAACCCATCCTGAGGGATCCCAAATCCCAGCTGCATTCCCAAATCCCAAATTCTCTCTCAGAGAATTCCCAAATCCGGGGGCCCATCCCGGGGGATCCCAAATCCCAAATTCCCCCTCAGGGAGTCCCAAATTCCATCCTGGGAATTCCCAAATCCCAGAGATCCCTCAGGGGACCCCAAACCCATCCTGGGCTTCCAAGAAGGGAATTCCCAAATTCCCAAAAATTCCCAAAATCCCAAATTCCCAGAATCCGCTGCAGGAATCCTGTCGCTAATGAGATGCAAATGTATCACTTGCATATTCACAACACCTCGTTTATCCCCATCCCATCCTGGGAGCATCCGTGGGACACAAAACCGGGAATTCTGTCCCCGGTTCCTGGAATTCCCATCCCGGATTTTGGGGATTTTGGGGATTTGGGGTTTGAGATTTTGGGTCTCGGGGATTTGGAGATTTTGGGAATTTTGGGGATTTGGAATTTTGGGGCCTCCTTGGAGCCATCAGAATTCCCAAAATTCCAGTCCCGGACTTCGGGGTTTTTTGGCCTCCTCCGTGGCGTTGGAATTCCTGGAATTCTGATCCCAAATTTTGGGGTTTTGGACCACGTGGTGGCACCAAAATTCCCATCCCAGATTTTGGGGTTTTGGGGATTTTGGGCCTTTTTGGAGCCGTTGGAATTCCTGGAATTCCTATCCAGGATTTTAGGATTTTGGGCCTCTTAGGTGTCTTGGGAATTCCCAAAACTCTGATCCCAGATTTTGGGGATTTGGGATTTTGGGGCCTTCTCGGAGCCATCGGAATTCCCAAAATTCCGATCCCGGATTTTGGGCCTCTTTGATGGCTTTGGAATTCCCAGAATCCTGATCCCAAATTTTGGGATTTTGGGCTCCTTGGAGCCATTGGAATTCCTGAAATTCCGGTCCTGGATTTGGGGGTTTTGGATCCTGGTGGTGCTGTCAGAATTCCCGGAATTTTCGTCCCAGATTTTGGGATTTTGGGCCTCCATGGCGCCAGAATTCCCAGAATTCCAATCCCAGATTTTGGGCCTCTTAGGTGGCGTTGGAATTCCCAGAATTCTGATCCCAAATTTTGGAATTTTGGGCTCCTTGGAGCCATTGGAATTCCCGAAATTCCAATCCTGGATTTTGGGGTTTTGGGCGTCTTAGATGGCGTTGGAATTCGTGGAATTCAGATCCCAAATTTTGGGATTTTGGGCCTCCTTGGTGGCGTCAAAATTCCTGGAATTTCGATTCCGGATTTTGGGATCCCGGATGATTTTGGGATGATTTTGGGATTTTCAGAGCCGCTCAAATTCTCTGGAATTCCCGAATTTTTTTGGTCATTCCTGGGATTGTTCGGATCCCCGGGCTCGGCCCAGGAGGGTCCTCGAGGGGATCCCCGAATCCCACCCAGGGAATTCCCAAAGGGATCCCAAATCCAGCTCAGGACATTCCCAAAGGGATCCCCAAATTCAGCTCAAGGGATCCCCAAATCCATCCCCGGGAATTCCCGAGGGGATCCCAAACCCATCCCAGGGGGATCCCCAAAATCCATCCCATAGAATTCCCAAAGGGATCCCCAAATCCTTGAAGGGGGGTCCCCAAATCCATTCCAGGGAATTCCCAAGGGGATCCCCAAAATCCACCTTAGGGTGTTCCCGGGATTCTCCAAATCCTGCCCAGGGAATTCCCAAAGGGATCCCCAAATTCAGCTCAAGGGATCCCCAAATCCGCATGGGAGGATTCCCAAATCCAGCCCAGGGAATTCCCGAGGGGATCCCAAATCCAGCCCAGGGAATTCCCGAGGGGATCCCAAATCCAGCCCAGGGAATTCCCGAGGGGATCCCAAATCCAGCCCAGGGAATTCCCAAAGTGGATCCCAAATCCAGCGCAGGGAATTCCCGAGGGGATCCCAAATCCAGCCCAGGGAATTCCCGAGGGGATCCCAAATTCCAGCCCAGGGAATTCCCGAGGGGATCCCAAATCCAGCGCAGGGAATTCCCAAAGGGGATCCCAAATCCAGCGCAGGGAATTTCCGAGGGGATCCCAAATCCAGACCAGGGAATTCCCGAGGGGATCCCAAATCCAGCTCAGGACATTCCCAAAGGGATCCCCAAATTCAGCTCAAGGGATCCCCAAATCCATCCCTGGGAATTCCTGAGGGGATCCCAAACCCATCCCAGGGGGATCCCCAAAATCCATCCCATAGAATTCCCAAAGGGATCCCCAAATCCTTGAGGGGGGTCCCCAAATCCATTCCAGGGAATTCCCAAGGGGATCCCCAAAATCCACCTTAGGGTGTTCCCGGGAGATCCCAAATCCCGCCCAGGGAATTCCCAAAGGGATCCCCAAATTCAGCTCAAGGGATCCCCAAATCCGCATGGGAGGATTCCCAAATCCAGCCCAGGGAATTCCCGAGGGGATCCCAAATCCAGCCCAGGGAATTCCCAAAGGGGATCCCAAATCCAGCCCAGGGAATTCCCACAGTGGATCCCAAATCCAGCCCAGGGAATTCCCGAGGGGATCCCAAATCCAGCCCAGGGGGGATCCCCAATTTGGGGTCACCAAACCCCGGGGGATCCCCAAATCCATCTCGGGGGATTCCCAAGGGAATTCCCAATTGCTCACCTGTCCCCACCCCCCCGAGGGGATCCCAAATCCAGCCCAGGGGGGATCCCCAATTTGGGGTCACCAAACCCCGGGGGATCCCAAATCCATCTCGGGGGATTCCCAAGGGAATTCCCAATTGCTCACCTGTCCCCACCCCCACTTTTCCAGGTGTGGCCATGGAGGGGCACTCCCCCTTTGCCCAGGTGATCCCTCACCTGTCCGAGGAGGAGGAGGAGGAGCCAGGTGAGGAGGAAGAAGGGACAGGTGAGGAGGAGGAGGGACCAGGTGAGGAAGGAACAGGTGAAGATCCAGGTGAGGAGGAAGATCCAGGTGAGGAGGAAGATCCAGGTGATGAAGATCCAGGTGAAGACCCAGGTGATGATGAAGACCCAGGTGACGAAGATGCAGGTGAAGATCCAGGTGATGATGATGATGATGATGACGACGACGAAGAAGACCCAGGTGACGAAGAGCAGCGCCACCAGCCAGGTGCGTCCTCTCCAGGTGACCCCTCCACCTCCCACCTCCGCCGGCCCCGCCTTTACCTGCGGCCACGCCCACCCCCGGCCGAGCCCGGCCCCTCCCACCTGCAGCCGCCCTGGGCCCACCCAGGTGCGCCGGGGCTCGAGGCCGCCTCACCTGAGCCAGGTGAGGCCACGCCGGGCTTCGTGCAGCTCATCGACGAGCGCGGCGTCTACTCCACCGCCAAGCTGGTGCTGGGCGGCCGCTCGGGCGCGCCAGGTGCGCCAGGTGAGGATGAGGAGGAGGAGCAAACCCCGCCAGGTGAGGATGACGAGGAGGAGGAGGAGGAGGAGGAAGAGCTGCCTGCTCACCTGGAGATCCGCCAGGTGATCGTGGCCGAGAAGCCCTTCCAGTGCCCCGTGTGCCACAAAGCTTTCAAGCGCACCTGGGAGCTGCTGAGCCACCAGGTGGTGCACACGGAGGCGCGGCCCTACACCTGCCACCTGTGCCGCGCCACCTTCAAGCGCCACTCGGACTTCAAGAGCCACGGGCTGGTGCACACGGAGGAGCGGCCGCACAGGTGCGACCTGTGCGGGAAGCGCTTCAAGCGCTCCTCCAACCTGCAGGAGCACCGCCGCATCCACAGCGGCGAGCGCCCCTTCGCCTGCCCCAGGTGCGCCAAAGGCTTCAAAACGCCCTACGAGCGCCAGCGCCACGCCCTGACGCACCTGGCGGCCGACAAGCCCTTCAGGTGCGGCGACTGCGGCAAGGATTTCCCGGCGGCCAACGCGCTGCTGCTGCACCGGCGGCACAGGTGCCAGGACAAGCCGCACGCCTGCGGGGTCTGCGGCAAGCGCTTCACCTACGGCCACTCGCTGAAGGTGCACGAGCGCGTGCACACGGGCGACCGCCCCTTCAGGTGCGCGCTCTGCGGCAAGGCCTTCAAGCAGAGCAACGCGCTGGCCTCGCACGAGCGCGTGCACACCGGCGAGCGCCCCTTCGCCTGCCGCACCTGCGGCAAGGCCTTCAAGCAGTCGTCCTACCTGGCCATCCACCAGCGGGCGCACACGGGCGAGCGGCCCTACAGGTGCGAGGCGTGCGGGAAGGCCTTCGCCCGGCCCTCGCTGCTGCTGCAGCACCGGCGCGTGCACAGCCAGGTGAGGCCGCACCAGTGCAGCCACTGCCACAAGTTCTTCAAGGACCTGGCGTACCTGGCCGTGCACGAGAAGGTGCACACGGGAGAGACGCCCTACAAGTGCGGGGTGTGCGCCAAGGGCTTCGCGCACCCCTCCAACCTGCTGCAGCACCAGCGCGTGCACCGCGACACCTGAGCGCGGGCGAGGGCGGCCCCCGCAGGTGTGGGGCTGGGGGTGCTCACCTGGACAGGTGAGCGCCCGAAAAAGGTGTGGCGGCGTCACCTGAGCCCCGTGGGTGAAGCCCCAGGTGAAAGGACTCGGTACCTGTGAGCCCGGACAGGTGTGGACTCAGAAAAACGGGTTTTGGAGCCCAAAAACTGCAGCAGCAACACCTGGACTGCCACACCTGAGCCTCAGGTGTGGGGGCCCTAGAACTGTGAGCCAGGACAGGTGTGGACCCAAAAAAATGGGTTTTGGACCCCAAAAAGGCTCAGCAGCAACACCTGGACTGCCACACCTGAGCCGCAGGTGTGGGAACTCCAGAACTGCATGCCAGGACAGGTGTGGACCCCAAAAACTGCATCAGCAACACCTGAACAGTGACACCTGAGCCCCAGGTGTGGGAACCCTGGATCTGCACCCCAGGACAGGTGTGGCAACCCTGGACCCGCACACCTGGCCAGGTGAGACCCCACACCTGCAGCCCGGCCAGGTGAGGCCGCACCAGTGCAGCCACTGCCACAAGTTCTTCAAGGACCTGGCGTACCTGGCCGTGCACGAGAAGGGTGCAACAGCAACACCTGGACAGTGACACCTGAGCCTCAGGTGTGGGAAGCCCAGAACTGCATGCCAGGACAGGTGTGAGCCTGGAACTGCACACCTGGACAGGCGTGAGCCTGGAACTGCACGCCTGGACAGAAACACCTGGACTGCCACACCTGAGCCCCAGGTGTGGGCCTGGAACTGCATCCCAGGACAGGTGTGGACTCCAAAACTGCAGTAGCAACACCTGGACAGTGACACCTGAGCCCCAGGTGTGGGAACCCTGAATCCGCACACCTGGACAGGTGTGGGAACCCGGAGCTGTGACCCAGGACAGGTGTATGGGCCTGGAACTGCACACCTGGACAGGTGTGGGAATCCTAGAACTGCACACCTGGACAGGTGTGGACCCCAAAAAGCTCAGCAGCAACACCTGGACTGCAACACCTGAGCTGCAGGTGAAGGGATCCCGGCCAGGTGTGGACCCCAAACTGCAGCACCTGGACAGCGACACCTGAGCCGCAGGTGAGGGGCCCCAGCACCGCCTCACCTGAGCTGTGACGTCACCGACAGCGGACGAGGAACTGAGGCACCCCCAGGACTCACCTGCGGCCAGGTGTGAGCCCAGCACTGCGAGGCTCACCTGGGCGCTCACCTGAGCCCAGGATGGCTCGTGTGGGTTTTGGGGAGCTCCAGGTGCACCTGGGAGTGGGCGGGGCACACCTGGATGGAGCGGGGCACACCTGGATGGGGCGGGGCACACCTGGATGGGGCGGGGCCTTCCCAGGGCCTGGATTTTCCCTCTTGGACAATGGGACAGGGACTCACCTGGGCACACCTGAGCCTGGGCGCTCACCTGGGCGCTCACCTGGGCGCTCACCTGGGCGCTCACCTGGGCGCTCACCTGGGCGCTCACCTGAGCCCAGGATGGCTCGTGTGGGTTTTGGGGAGCTCCAGGTGCACCTGGGAGTGGGCGGGGCACACCTGGATGGGGCGGGGCACACCTGAGTGGGGTAGGGGCACACCTGGATGGGGCGGGGCACACCTGGATGGGGCGGGGCCTTCCCAGGGTCTGGATTTTCCCTCTTGGACAATGGGACAGGGACTCACCTGGGCACACCTGAGCTCATCTGGGGGTCACCTGAGCTCATCTGGGGTTCACCTGACCCCACCTGGGCACACCTGACCCCACCTGGGCACACCTGAGCCCACCTGGGGCACACCTGAGCTCATCTGGGGCACACCTGAGCTCACCTGGGCACACCTGACCCCACCTGGGCACACCTGAGCTCACCTGGGGCACACCTGAGCTCACCTGGGGCTCACCTGAGCTCACCTGGGGTTCACCTGAGCTCACCTGGGCACACCTGAGCTCACCTGGGCACACCTGAGCCCACCTGGGGCACACCTGAGCTCACCTGGGGCACACCTGTCCCACCTTTCCGGGCGGTACCTGTAGCGCTGGGGGCGGGGCTCACCTGGATCATTCATTAAAGGATCGTTAATTAATGACGTCATTGTTGGTCTCACCTGGAGCTTCAGGGGCGGAGTCATCAGGCAGGTGTGGGTGGGGGGAGGGGGAGAGCCCCAAAATTCACACCTGGGGGGGTGGGAACACCTGAGATTCACACCTGAGGGGGTGGGGCCCTCCCAAAATTCACACCTGGGGGGTGGGGAACACCTGAGATTCACACCTGTCACACCTGGGGGCGTGGGAACCTCCCAAAATTCACACCTGGATGGGAACACATTCACACCTGGAGGGTCGGGAACACCTGAGATCCACACCTGTCACACCTGGGGGGGACGGGGAACCCCAAAATTCACACCTGGAGGCTCCAGACGCCATTTTTAATTTATTCACCTGCCCAGGTGTGCGGGGACACCTGAGCCCGCAGGGGCTGCCGAAGGGGGGGAGGGGCCAGGTGAGGGCGGCCAGGTGAGAATGGCCAGGTAAAGATGGCCAGGTAAAGATGGCCAGGTGAGAGCGGCCAGGTGAGAACAGACAGGTGAGAGCGGCCAGGTGAGAACAGACAGGTGAGAACAGGTGAGAATGGCCAGGTGAGAGCGGCCAGGTGAGAACAGACAGGTGAGAGCGGCCAGGTGAGAACAGACAGGTGAGAACAGGTGAGAATGGCCAGGTGAGAGCGGCCAGGTGAGAATGGCCAGGTAAAGATGGCCAGGTGAGAATGGCCAGGTGAGAGCGGCCAGGTAAAGATGGCCAGGTGAGAGCGGCCAGGTGAGAATGGCCAGGTAAGGATGGCCAGGTGAGAGCGGCCAGGTAAAGATGGCCAGGTGAGAGCGGCCAGGTGAGAATGGCCAGGTAAGGATGGCCAGGTGAGAGCGGCCAGGTGAGAGCGGCCAGGTGAGAAGTTCAGGTGAGGATTCCAGGTGAGAGTGGCCAGGTGAGAGTGGCCAGGTGAGAACAGACAGGTGAGAATGGCCAGGTGAGAATGGCCAGGTGGGGTTCAGGTGAGAGGTCCCAGGTGAGTGTTTGCAGGTGAGGTTCAGGTAAGAGATTCCAGGTGAGAGAGGCCAGGGGGAGAGCAGCCAGGTGGGGATTGCAGGTGAGGTTCAGGTGGGAGTTTCCAGGTGAGGGTTCCAGGTGAGGGCGGCCAGGTGAGGCTCCAGGTGAGAGGTTTAGGTGAGGGTTTGCAGGTGAGGATTCCAGTCCTGGCTCTTCTCACCTGTCCTACCTGCCACACCCTCACACCTGTCCTGGCTCTTCTCACCTGTCCTGGCTTAACCTGTCCCACCTTTCTCACCTGTCCTGGCTCCTCCCTTCTCACCTGTCCCACATGACCCAGATCTTTCCTTCACACCTGTCCTTGTTGGGCTCTTCTCACCTGTCTGACCTTCACCTGTCCCACCTGTCCTGGCTCCTCCCTTCTCACCTGTCCCACCTGTCCTGGGTCATCTCACCTGTCCTGGCTCCTCCCTTCTCACCTGTCTGACCTTCACCTGTCCCACCTGTCCTGGTTTAACCCTTCACACCTGTCCCACCTTTACCTGTCCCACCTGTCCTGGCTCCTCCCTTCTCACCTGTCCCACCTTTACCTGTCCCACTCACCTGTCCTGGCTCCTCCCTTCTCACCTGTCTGACCTTCACCTGTCCCACCTGTCCTGGTTTAACCCTTCACACCTGTCCCACCTTTACCTGTCCCACCTGTCCTGGCTCCTCCCTTCTCACCTGTCTGACCTTCACCTGTCCCACCTGTCCTGGTTTAACCCTTCACACCTGTCCCACCTTTACCTGTCCCACCTGTCCTGGCTCCTCCCTTCTCACCTGTCCCACCTTTACCTGTCCCACCTTTACCTGTCCCACCTGTCCTGGCTGTTCTCACCTGTCCTGGCTCTTCCCCTCACCTGACCTTCACTGGGATTTCCTCTGCACACCTGGGGCTCACCTGGGCCCCTCCCCCACACCTGTCCTCACCTTTGGCCCCTCCCCCTCTGGGCTTTCCCCCACACCTGGGGCTCACCTGGGCCCCTCCCCCACACCTGAAGCCCCCCACGTACCTGGAGCCCCTCCCCCACACCTGTGCTGTACCTTTGGCTCCTCCCCCACACCTGGGGCTCACCTGGAGCCCCTCCCCCACAGCTGGAATAATCCTTGGGCCCCTCCCCCCCACCTTT